TGCTCATAGGGGGCAGTTTGATTGTTGGAGTTTTCTCCAGTATCCTATGGGGTCTTTAGCTTCCAGTGTAAAGTGTCTATAGACAACTGACGTTGTGATTTGGTGCTTTATAAAAATCATAATTGAATTGTTCTGAAATCATTAACAATATCTAACAGTATCAAATAGAGACGAGCTAAAGTTTGTCAGGGAAATGTGTTGCACACATAAATTGTTGCGTGGGCTGAATGTATGTGTCAAATTGGTAAAAACATTGTTTCTTCAGGCCAGCAGTCTCATGTCAATTAGATCTTTTCCAGAAAAGTTGCTTAATTCAAAATGTTCCAACTACATGCCGTCATAATGAATACACTCTAGAACCCATTAGAGAGATTTCTTAGGACAGCAAGTTCAGCAGCAATATCTTGAAACAGTGACTTGTGAAGTTAGACCAGAGGTTCATTACCAAATCAGAGCTGACACATGGCTCAGTGATATAGAGAAGCAGATGCACTGCCAGATCTTTTTTTTTTTTTTTAAGTTTTTGAAAAGTAGCTGATTAGAGGGATTTTCACAACTGTGCACATTCTGCGGTTAATTAAGTTGTCCCATTGGCGATAAAGAGGTGCTGTACAGCGGATGCTCTATGTGCATGTTCTTTGCTTTTTGCGACCTATTGCTTGCTTCGTGCATTTTTTATTTAAACCTTTTCTTTCAACCCTTGTTTACACCTTTTGTCTAGCTCACTCAGCACAGTTTGCTCAGCTTTTATTTTAAAACTAATATTTCTCAGCCGAGATTTGTGACATCAAGCAAGCTTCCAGCACAGTGCACTTAAACAATGCTCAACTCATGATGCTCACCGAGCAATCGGCCAAAGTTCTCACTCTGCGTCTTCCTCCAGCAGTCCCTCCACATTAGGCCATTAATCACAAGGGTGCATGAAAAATAAAGATTGTGTAGCTGGGGTACAGGCTAGAGTGGGGTGGGGAGGGGGTCAGTCAAGTGGTCTCTTCTGCCCACGAGTCCCTGGTCAGTGCCATTATTCTTCTACTGTTGTGAAGGCGAGAGTTTTGATGCTATTGATTTGGGAGGAGGGCAAAGGAGAGGAGACATCAATATACTTGCTGATGCAGTGGCATCGCAACCTTCACTGCACAGCCTGCTTTTGTCCGTATATTGCAGGTGTCAGTGAAAAACACGCGCGTGTCTTGTTTGGTTCATAAACCACTCATGTGTGATACTAAATCACAATACAGTTCTTCTGTAGCAAGAATCTAAAGAATGCTACACATCAGCTTCAAACTTGCACAGATACTTGCTTCACATGCGCACACAGAGCCATGCGCTGGCAAATGGACCCCTCATGTGGACCAAACCTTTGTGCTTTCAGCTGAAGCCTTACATTTGAACCTATGTTCAAAGACAGCCTACCTACTCAGCACACCACGAGCCAGACAAAATCCTGGTGTCTTCCTCTTCCCTCGCTTGCCACTCCAGCTTTCATTTTTTTTCTGTTTGTCCAAGGGTGCTGTTATAGACAGGTGAAAGGGGCACTGGCAGTAGGTGAGCTCTTAAATTACAGCACACTCGAGAGCAGAGGAGGGGAGTTTATTTTGGGTCATGGAGAAATTGAAGTTAGCTATCGCAGCATACTTGAAATAAGAGAATCATAGTGCAGTTATTTTGAGGATTTTTTCTTAAATGTGTTTGATGTTGGGAGAAGGATGTTGGGGTCATGTATGGGACGTACCATAATATCATCAGCTTTGTCATAGATGTAAGAGCCAGGGAATTTATTTTGAAGGTACAAAATTGCAGAGTGATCTCAACCACTGGCCACCAGTCTACAGCTTGTCCTGTGAACAAAAGCCAATTCACTGACAGAAATCCAAAAGAAAAGAACAGAAATGCTTTACTTATTGCATTTGTTGTCTGGTGTGTTGTGGCAGGATTGACAACTTCTTCAGGGTTTCTTACTTTGCTCTGTGTTGTAGTTTGGCAAATATGACTTTGAGTTTATAGGGCACACTTTGACATTATGTCCAAATGTTGTTTACTTGGCAAATGTTTTTGTTTTGTTTTTTTTGGAATGTCTGAAAGTAAGACCCACACATAATGACATGCTTTAGCTTGTTTTAAGCTCTCTGTGCCTCATTTTCATATAAAATACAAGCCGTGCTACCAGCCTAGCTTCAGGGATAGCAGTGATTTACATCATTTTGATTCTGACACATTTCAACAACCTTTTATGCAGACATGGACAAGTTGACATTTCTGGCCTTTAGAAATATCCTGACAACGACTGGATGGATTGCTGTAAAGTTTAGTACAACAATTCATGTTCAGCTGAGTATTTAATTGACACATTTGGCATTGTTCAGAAAGGACAATCTGACTTTTGTCTGTTGTTGGCTTTAGCTAGTAATTTGAATGTGTTTTTCCACGAGCATTAGTTTTATTCGCTTCTTGTTGTGAGTCATAATTTTGAGATATTTTGCATAAGAGGGGCTAATGTCTTGTGTCTTATGTACTGAACTTCCTTGTAACAGTTCATTTCAATCCATAAGCAAAGTGGTTGTAAAATCATAATGTGTTGTCTTCTCATTGCACATTTTCTCTTGCTAATGTGCCCCCTGCTCAAGAAAACAGAGGCATTGGAGGAAGATGGATAGTGAGGCGAATAATCCAGTTAGCTTTTCATGTGTTTGCAGGCAGATATTTTCTCTTTAATGTGTTTATCATGACTTATGAGCTTCTCTATAGCAGTCATTAACATATGATTACCATCACAAGTCTAATGGGTTTGTCTGTTGTTCCCCCTTCTGCTCAACTGCCTCATCCCCTTTCCAAAATGTTTTCTTTCTAAATCTTTTATCTTCCTCTTTTTAACATTTGCTTCCTATCTCTCTGTCATTCTCTATCTCTCACACCTCCTTTCCATGTGTTTCCACTTTCGGCCCCTGCGGCCTCTCAACTTCCCAAGATAGAGGCTCACACCCACACACTCCCCATTATTGCTTAATTATCTGTGGCCTGTCATTTGAATAATGTTGTGTCCTTTACTTTCAATCTATTTAAATTTTTTGGTTTCATCTTTCACTTGATCTTTATTCACTTTTTCACTCCTCCTTCACTATATCCCACAACTGGCCCTCCCCCTACCGTCATCTCTGTTGCGTTCAAGGCATTTCTGTGGCATCGGAATACTTCTGCTTCCCTGTTTTTCAACACCTCCTCAAAGCTCATTGACTCTCCTCTTCTATTGGGTTATACAGAAATAAATCTATGAGAAAGACATAGCTGAGGATCCTAAAAGCCCACATTGGTCTGCTTCACACCAGCAAACCCTTTCTGTAGGATATTACTCTATTCTTTAATCTTTCATTGACTGAAAATTATGACTCCATCCATTTAAAAAAAAAAACAAAAAAACTGTACTTGATTGTATTTTGGCCATTATTAACTTCAAGGATGTTTTACTGTACACCTCCGGACCACTGACGTTATTCGTGCTATTTTTAGATTGCTCCCTGGAAGTTCCATTCACACCACTTGCACTCGTGCAGCTGCAGCAGCAGGCTTAATCTTCTGCTCTGTGTCAAATCAGCAATCCTTTCACTTGAATTTCAGTTTGAAGAAGAAGATGCAGTCACAGGAAGCTGACATTTGCAAGTAGGGCAAGGAATCTGTCACTGTAGAACTCCCATGCTGACTGTGATCCTGGGGAATTAATTTATAGTGCACAATGTTGGGGAAAAAAGACAAGCATGCTCCTTACTGTGCTTCTCACCTGATGTGATGTGAGCCACATTTGGGCTTCCACTGAATACTGCTGTCTTCAGTAATGATCATTAATGTGAATGTTGAGTCAGTTTGACACAGACGTTTATGTTTGCTGTCTGTGCAAGTCCGAAGTTCTCTGGTGAAACTGAGTTTTCATCAGGAAGTGAATTCTAGGGAAAATCTAAATGTATGTGGAGGTATCGAAAGAGGTCCTCAAAGTTTAAAGAGGCTAAATTAAATCAGGTTCAATTTTGCTTTTCAGCTGTTAAATTGCTGAAGTCTTTTTTTTTTTTTCTAGATATAGTTTCTAGATATAGTTTGCAGTTTATATCTGCCAAATCATGAGAAATTTCCATGAAAGAGAACCAAAATTTGTTTTTTGGGGTGTTTTGTTTTTCTTGTTTTCTTTTCAAACATCTTTCTAATAAAAATGCAGCTCAAATGAAAATGCATTGGTGCTGTTCTCATGGCTTCCTTGTATCAAATGCACTCATCACTTTGTTCCAGTGTAACTACACTCATTGTTGTTGTATCCCTGTCGGTTTTCTACACTTAAGTGAGGACACCTGGGGACATTTAGTAAGGCAAAGCAGAAGATGCTTTTTGGGTTGTGTGAGAAATCACAGGAATTATATGAGTTTTGACAGAGTCTTCGTGTGGGAGTCCCTATACAACTGACTGGCACACTCAGATTTCTACCCATGAATCAGTGTGTTTGTCTTGTGAAGAAAATGGTAATGTTTTCTGCTGTGTTTTTGAAATATGCCACTCTACTTTCAGTTTCTCACTGCAGCTCTGTGCAGTTTTTCTTCATTCATGTCATTTTGGATGCTGGTTGATAATTAGTTTTTTATCCTGTAATTCTTTTTTTATAATCCTATTGTTTGTTGCCATTTTAGATGAATTAACATTACTGCATTACAGTGGTTTAATACATTATCGGAATCAATAGAGCAAATGGCCTGCTCACTTACTGCCTTTATGACTCAAATAAACCCCAGAGGGCAGTTAATTTAAGGCTCTGTGTACACTTCACAAGTCATTACAAGCATTAGCAACGTTTGGTCCTTAGCTGCTTTATATTATTCTTGTCAATGCACTTGACAAGAGAATTTTTTTAAGTGTGTTTTTTAAGAATCACAGCCCATTTTAGGACTTTTCCTAATGTGTTCAGTGGAAATTCATATTCAGCAGAGTGTCTGACCTAATGAAATGTGTATTTCCTTTTTTTCCAGGGTTGGTCAAACTTGGAGTCCACTGTGTAACATGCCAGAAAGTCGCCATTAAGATTGTGAACCGTGAGAAACTCAGCGAGTCAGTACTAATGAAGGTATGTTTGTGGTTCTTAGTCTTCGGACTTTCTGATGAGGATGGTTAGTGCAAATGAAAAAATAATTTAGTTTTCTGTATTGTTTTTGCCTTACTATCTTACCTTAAACTTTATTATTTGTCATGTTCCCACAGTTGATGGATGGATAGTATTCTAAGCTAGTGGACTTCCTTAGCAGAACCAAGGTTTCAAAAAAATCAGCAGCTGATCTTGCAAAAATTCTTAAATATTAGCAGTTTATATCACAGAGTGGAATCACATGCTGAGGTAGTGACGCATTTCAGACTCAAAGAGTCAGCTGCTTAGCTCCCCCATCAAGCAAGAGTCAGAGCTTCTAATGCACAACAGCAAAGCGGCTTTCTGTGACTATAATTAGTATGCTTTTACTAGTAAGTCTGCATTGTTTCTTTTTAAGGCATACAGTAGGATAGAATTTTTTTTTCTTTTTTTTGTCATTACATCATAGGACTCCTGCTGGGAAGTTCCATTCAGTGCAACATTGTCCCTTGTTTTGATGGAATAGTTGTAAAGAAACTAAAGAGAATAAGAAGAGCGAGGGCAACTCAGAGACGCTACAACCTGAAAATGGTAGTTACAGGATACACGCAGAGACAAGTGCTTGCTGTAATTGTTGGCTTATGAGCTGGAAAGCAGGAGGAGAATGGGTCTGCTCACAGTAAAGGTTATCGGAAAATCCCTCAGTTTTGGATCGCTTCACGTGGCATCATTATTCAACTACAGATGAAAAATTCTCTGTCCTTGGGTATTGTTATTTGATAAACGGTCTGTATTTATTAGCTTTTTGCTGTGTCAGAGTCTGTTTTGCTCTTTGCTTGCTGCTGATTTGCTCTTGAAGTCGCTCTCTGTTCTGCCTCTTATCCCATTCAACATGCAGTCTTAATGTTCTCATGAAAGACAGGCAGGTCATTTCTGTGAGAGCTTCAGCTCTGACAGACGTATTGTAGCAGAAGTAGAGGAACTATTGTAACACATGTCGGTGAGCTAGGTGACATCTTGCTGTCCTGCAAAGGAAAATGAGGGTAACAGATGCCAAATACTGACAGGTTTCCAACAGGACCGAGTCGTTTGCTGAAGCTGCAATTCAGAGCCAATTACTGACCTCAGCCATTGTCAGTCTTGTCTCAGCAGTGTAGACTGTTGGGTGTGTGTGGGTGTGTGTGGGTGTGTGTGTGTAACAGCAGGTGTAGTGTATGTGCCAGTGAGAACTGAATTACGTCGGGGAGAATATGTATCTACAAAAATTCAAATTTATCAGCATTATTCTACATGTATAAAAAGAGATTCTAGGTTTTTTCCACTCATGCTGCAAGTCAGTATTTTTGGATCACATGCTAAAATGTCAGTGTGTTTGTGTTTGTGTCTACCTGTGCCTGTTGTTGCTAACCTGTAACACTGTTTACATGGAAATGGTGTGTGAGATTGTGTGCTGTTGCTTTGTCAGAGCCATCCCATATGGAAAAGAAATAGTAAAAACTTATATGATTTACTCTTTCACTCTTATATGCTTTTCATACAAGTTTCACACAAGACAGATACAAACTTTATAAGATTTATATATATCTTTTCCATATGGGGTGTAACTCAAGTACAACTCAGCCGTTCTCACAGTCTGGAAATCTAATGGCATGACTCATTACCAAACTTACATGTTACAAGTTGCATGTAAATTTCCTGCTAGTTTTGGAACACATTATGCTTATTTTAATGCTTGAGCAGGTATAGTTGAAGGCAGTCTGGTAGCAGTTATGGACTCCTCGTCGACCTGGAGAGAGTGTTTGTTTGGCAGGAGGTTCAGGCTGCTGAACAAATAGACTCAAGGACAGCTTTTACAACAGGGCAATAGCCCTGATCAATGCAAATAGCTGACCTGACTGGCTACCTACCTGGACTTTTTTTTTGGGGGGGGTTAACAACGGTAAAAACAGTAATAATAATAATAGTATTTATATTTATAACAAGGTGCAATGATAATTAATGTGCAATAATAACAGTGTGCAAAACAAATACACTTATTCTTCTTTTTTATTACTAAGTTATTATACTGTGTTGTGTTGTTTGTGTTGCGTTGTGATGTGTCGTATCGTGTCGTGTTGTGTTATATGTAGTGCCGACGTAGGACAGTTTTCCAATTTCATTGTACTATTGTACTATGTATGACTGTGCAATGACAATAAAGAGTCTTGTTGTCTGATGGCGGCGGTGTCAAAAAAAAACGTGGTACAACCAGTGCGTGAGCTATCATCATCATCCAATCAGCATTTGATCAGCACATAAGTAACCCCATAGATGGGATATTGGGTGACTACACAGCAGCACGCTCGCTGTGGGTGAAAACCTCTCTCAGTTTGTCCAAATAGTAATGAATACACAGATGGACACATTTGCGGGACCACAAATTACACCTAACACTGATCTCACAAATTAGATTACAAATTCATTCTCATGTTTTGGGCCTTCCTACTATGACTGGACAGGTGTTTTCCAGCTCAAATCTAGTCGAGGTTTTCCCATATTCCCATTGTGTCGCAACCCATACTCTCATGTGTGCTCTTCGGACTGCATATTTGGCTGTCAGACTGTCAGAATGATCGGGCTGTAGCTTCCTGCATAGCGCAGGCTGTGAAATGTCACCTTTTAATATGCTAATGTCTTGGGTCCCCGTGGTGCCATTAGGGGAGAGTCTGACTCGCCCAGACAGGTGTGTGTTTGTGTGTGCGTCTGTGTGTGTGTGCATGTGTATTTGCAACACTCCTGATGACAGATATACTTTGTATGCATGCATACACTCATAGACAAATATAGGCCACACACAAATGTGCAGAGGAATGTGTGCACATGTGCCATAGCAACATCTGCATGTTCTTTAGTATGAGCATGTGCACATCCTCCACGACCTATGTCATCCCTCTCCGTCTGTCCTTCTTATGACTGGCCTTGGGAGTCAGGGGTCTGTGGAGATGAGGAGATGGGTTGAATTAATTGTCTCGGAGTATCTGGCAGAGAGGTCTTTTCTACACTCTCAGTGTGTTGAACTTTATATAACTAATGCTGAACTCTTTATTCCATAACCCTACAGACTGTGACACTAAGGACCAGAAAGACATTGAATTGTCTTGGTTAATGCATGCGTCTATGAACTTTATGTCAGTTTGTAACCAGGGAATGAGCCTTGACTACTTCAAAGAGCAAGTGCGGCCCAATGTTTTTTCACTTCTAAGCAGAAAAGCTAACAATGGAGTTACTTGAATAATAATAAGAGTCTCCGTCAGCGGGAAGTGGTTGCCTGTCATGTTTGGAATGAGAGAGAAAAAGACAGAGAGAGAATACACAGTACGTGCACATATGACAGTATGTCAGCAGACTTTCGCACTGAGGCCAAACTGAATGAAGTAAGGCAAACCGATACTAAGAGAGAACCAACATTTTGTGCATGAATCTGAGTGCTTGTGGGTATCTCAAGGGAATAGTTGATGTTTCTGAATCTCAGTCAGTTTTCTCTCTACCTCCCTCTACTTTGGACATGTCTCTATGAGATCAGGCCATGAGGTTGAGAGAAAGCAAAAGGGAACTGTAGTAAGAAGAGAGATGGACATGTTGGGAGAAACCCTGCTGGGAAAATATAACACAGATGTCTTTGTCAGGACACCACATCTCTGTGCATTTCTTGTCAGAAGTTCCTGTTTTCTTCTTGATCTATTAACTGTGACATTCCCACATATGGCATGGCCCTTTGTGTTCACTTCCAGCGTAAGAGTACAAATCCAGCTTCCATTTCAACCATATCCCTACCGCACACACACACACACTCCCTGCCTTAATTCTACATGGCATAGATTCAACATGATCCATATTGACATGACGTGTTGGGTGCATATCCATGATGGGAATTACCCCTTCCACCACAAGATGCTGCACTGGTTTGACTGTTGAGGTCATTTCAGAACAGTGAACCCATTGTCATGTTCAAGAAATCATTTTGAGATGAGCTTTGTGACATGGTGGGTAATCCTTCTGGAAGTAAATAGGTGCACTGTTGTCATGAAGGGATTGACATGGTCAGTAACGATACTGAGATAAGCTGTGGTGTTTGAATGTTCAAATTGGCCTAAATGTGGTAAGAATTACAGCATTATACCTCCAGCAGCATCCTGAGCTGTTGATACAAGGAAAGTTGGATCTTTCCTTGTATCATGGTGTTTTTTTTTATGCTGTTGGGTGGTTGGGTTGGAATTTGTTGTAAACAGCATGAAAGCATAGATCTAAGTCTTGCAGCAGATTCATCAGTGCAGACAGTGTTTTTCCAGACAAATGGAGGACAGAAGTGTCAGGCATAAAAAAAGAGCCAGAAAAAAACTGTCTAGGCAACAAAGAAGTGGTTAAAGAAGAAGCACATTAAGGTCATTGAATGGCCTAGCTAGTCTCCAGACCTCAACTCTACAGGAAATCTGTGCAGGGAGCTAAAGCTTCAAGTTGCCAAGGGGCTGCCAAGAAACCTAAAGTATTTAGAGAGTTTCTGTAAAGAGGAGTGGGCCAACATCCTTCCTGAGATGTGTGCAAATCTGGTGACCAATTAGTCTTGGTTGTGTTTTGCTTGGGGATCAAATACTGTATTTCAATGACACGTAAATTAATTTATAGCTTTTGCATAAAGTGTCTTTTTTTCTGGATTTTAGTTGATATTCTGTCTCTCTAGATTAAAATGAAACTACCATAACATTAGAGACATTATGTGATTTCATGTAATCACATAATGATTTTGAAGTTTTCCCTGAAAAAAAGAGGATTCGGTGTAACATATTTCTACGATACTGCCTGTCATTATACTGTATATGAAAAAAGCAACTCCGATAAATCTGCAGTTCAGTCTTAGGGTGAGTATTATTGTTACTAGCCGTTAGCAGAGGGATCAGGGTATCTTTAACATGCAGCAGTTGGTAGTTGCTGTTGATGCCTGCTCTGTTTTCTTCCTCTGAGCCAGC